TTCAGTGGACTATTATCCAGCCTTAAAAAGGAAGGAAATTCTGACATTTGCTACAATATGGATGAAGCTTGTGGACACTACGCTAAGTGAAATAAGCTAGTCATAAAAAAGGTAAATACTGTATGATTCTGTTTATATGAGGCACCAAGAGTAGTCAAAATATAGAGACAGAAAGTAGAATGGTAGTTGCCAGGGCCTGCGAAAGAGGAGAATGGGGAGTTATTGTGTAATGGGGACAGAGTTTCAGTCTGGGAAAATTAAAGAGCTCTGGAGATGGATGGAGGTGACAGCTGTGTAACAGTGTGAATGTACTTAATGCCACTGAATTGTACACTTAAAAGTGGTTAAGATGTAAACTTTACATACGTGTATTTTACCAAAATTTAAAAAGATAGGAAGGGGATAAAATACCACAAAGAAGTGTATAGGCATTGACTGCTTAAAAAGCACAAAAATACTTATGGAAGGCAAAAAAATAACGGCTCTGAATGGCCCCTTCACGACATAGGGAGGTCTTTAGGTAAAAATGGAAACCCTCACCACGTTTGGGTCTGATAAAGACAATTTTCTATTCCTTAAGACTGTGATTTTATATAATTATCTTTCTCCTTCTAAATCTTGATACTTTCTGTCCAGTTTTTCTACTGAATGAAAATTCTGTATCAAATTCAATGAAGACAAGTTGAGACTGTGCACAATTCATCAAATCCAATTACAGTGAAATTCCAGGGAGTTCTCTGCAGAGGAAAGGAGAAAAATCATGTCCCCAGCCCAAATTAGAGCGAAAAAGAATCAAGTTGTGAGCTGAAGACAGTTCATTTCTCAAGTCTGACAGGTCCCATGAGAGTGCTTCTCTTAGAAATATAAGCAGCGTTACAGGGAATTTTCCCGAAACATCTTTTCAATTTCTAACTAAGACTCAGAAAAGCTGAACATGGCCTTTGTTGTGGCAAAGATTAGAAATAAACAATCTATGAATGCTTAGCTCTAATTTATGGCTTTTAACTGGATACTGATGTCTGACATTGTTCTAGGAACAAGTCAAAGCCCCTTTGAACCTGAACGGATGGATCTTACGATATTTGCTCCAGAGTGGAAGGCTGGGATTGCGTTTCCTGGAGGAGGTCATAAATGGAGACTTTCTATATTATATACACATAACCTGCCTTTGTTTTGTGTGTGTGCACATGCACATTGATACAGTGCCTTCTTATGCTGTTTGGGTTGTCACCAGTTTCTAGCAGGACATTCTGTGCCAGCTCTTGTGGTCCCAGCGCCAAATGTGCTCTGACTAGATAAAGGGTGGATCTCCAGATCTAGTGTCATCAGTGATTTTTCCAGAGATGCTGCTCTTTCCTTTACAATGTCACTGCACTCGCTGGTGGTGGTGGGGTTGTCCCAGTAAATAGGATGAAGTCTGGAGAGTGGACGCGTGGGAACTATAATATTTACGCTCTCCTAAGACATGGAGGGAAGAAATCACTTTCTAAATAATTTATGTATTTTTTTTATCTTTGAAAACGAGAGGCAGGTTAGAGAACTCCCAGGTTCATTTTAGGTGGCCCTGCATGATCATGGCGCTGATCATATAATGTTTTGGGCATCAGTGAACAAATAGGAAGGGATGTGTATCCCTCAGGCTGATCCCGCAGGGGAAAAATAGGTTTCAGTCACTAGAGGAGAAAGAAAAAGCAAAATTAGAAAAATGAACTTCATGGACTCGTCCGGTTTCAAAAAGCGAAACCTCTCTTTTTGGAGGAAAGTGTGAAGACAGGCTTGGAGAAGGGTCTCGAGAGGGCTCCGCAATGAGGGGAAGGGATAGGCCAAGGTGTCCCGTCTCCTTGGGCGGTTCACAGTGCTGCACTCCAGACTCGGAGGCAGCTGTGTTCTGAAGCGGGTTCAGATCTGCTGAGCTGCACGGCGAGTCCATTTTGGACCGGGAAGGGGTCATTTCAGCGTCACTCCGACACTGATGGAGACATTGAAGAAAGGCAATCAATTAATTCCTGACCCAGGAAAGATCAGAAATGGGCAAACAAGGGTGATCTTTGTGTGACATTTAGAGACAAATTAGAGGGAACTGCAACGAATAGACTTAATTGAGGGCCACGTCTATTATCTTAACTTGGTTCTATGTCTCAAAATGCGCTTTCACGATTAAGAAACGCCGCTTCACCTGCTCAGAAAGCACAGCGATGAGCTGAGGGTCTGCACACCTGGGGAGGCCCCTGGGCTGGCCCACACCGCATTTGACAACATTGCAATTTCAGGACAAAGGGTCAGACCCAAAGGTCCTCGTGTCCTTTACTCCTTGTCCACGTCCCGCCAGCTCCGCGCTGTCCCTCCACCTGAGGCTGAGGTCTCCCACCGTCTCCAGGACCCCCACCCTCAGGTGAGCCTTTCGCTGCTCCCCTGAACTGATGCTTGTTTATGGAGGCACAATGTCCAAAGAACAGGCCAGCGGAGTTTCTACAGACGGGGTGTGGTGCAAGCATCTTTAGGAGCTGCGTCTCGTAGAATCGAGGGCCTTGGCTTTGCCTAGGTCAGAACCGTGAGGAGGCCTCAGGTGCCATCCGGGGCTTTGCTGAGGAGCCCCAGTAACCACAATGTGGACGAAATTCTGTTTAGATCTCAAGGTTCCTGCAAATCATGAACCCAACCCACACACACTATGTCCATCGGCCCCAGCAGAAGCCCCACTGTGCGCCCCATCCCCGGACCTCTGGGCTCATTGCCACCCCACCGGTGTCCCGGACGTTGTCAGCAGCCTGGTGCCCAGGGCTGCTCTCCCGGGAGGGCCTCAGCCTTCCTCTCTGACCGGCCCGAGTTTCCCTCCAGGAAAGCCGCCTCTAGCCACACAGCAGTCTCTGCCCTCGGGGCCGGGCCTCTGGGGACCTCTATTCGGGGCAGCCCCATAAGACGTGCGTGGTTACCATGCTGACTGATTTTAATCGAACTCACTCAACAACAGTCGTTTGAACAGACCCTACCATGGGGCGAGCGCCAGGCTGGTGTTAGGGGCTGGGGCCCACGTGGGTCTCTCCAGGCCACCTTTGTGGGGACCTACCCAGGACAGACTCTGGTGTGAATTGACTACAAGTTCCACCACGGGATGCATTCAGACTCGGCAGCAACTCATCTCTGCAACTCAGATAGACCCTGGGCATCACTCAGATCAGTGTCTACAGAGTAGTGGTCTCATCTGGGGATTTTGAACCCACGGGCAAGTCTGGAGAGTTCTGGTTGCTACAGCTGGGAGAGGGAGGTGCTACTGGCCTCTGGGGGTAGAGACCAGGGATGCTGTTAAACATCCTACAATGCTCAAGATGGTCCCCCACGAGAAAGAGTCATCCAGCCAAGAGGTCAACAGTACCACGGTAGAGGCACCCGGCTACAGCCCATCCCAGTTCAATGGCTGCCCTGTACGCCTGGTGAGAATGTGTCACAGTTCATTTAAAGGTTTCGTTATTAATTGACATTAACTTTGTCTCTGGGTATTTGCTAAACAGAAACAGCATCAACTTGCATTTTTTTTTAATATATATAACATATGATGGCATGGGTATTTCTGCTGGATAGACTTCTGGAAGTAAAATTTCTCGGTAAAAGGGTATACACAATTAAAATGTTGACGGATTTTGCCAAAGTGACAACATATTGCACCAACTGCTCTGTGGACAACAGTGCATAGGAGGGCCCACACCTGTACGACCCTGGACATTACTGATATCTATACTATTTGCCACCATCATGGGCAGAAAAATGGTGCCTTGTGTTTTAATTGCATTTCCAGCTTCTCACACAGGTGGCGCCATGTCGGGACACCTCTTCCCGGCCTCCGATGAATTCATGTCATTACCTACCACCCTCATCTATGCTCAGCACATACAGAAGTACTAGTGACAATGATGGATTATTCTACCGGACTGTGGGAGGAAAGAAAACTGGGCAAGCGGACAAAGATTTCAGTAGATGCGTTACCTGTGGAATTTTTTTTTTCCTCCCCAAAGCCCCAGTGCACGGTTGTATATCCTAGCTGTTAGTCCTTCTGGTTCTTCTATATGAGCCACTGCACAGCATGGCAACTGACAGATAGATGGTGTGGTTCTGCGACCAGGAAACAAACCTGGGCTGCCGAAGCAGTGAGTGCCAAACTTTAACCACTAGGCTGTCAGGGCTGGCTCACCTGTGGAATTTTTATTTATTTTTTATTGAGGAAGATTAGCCCTGAGCTAACATCTGCTGCCAATCCTTCTTTTTGCTGAGGAAGACTGGCCATGAGCTAACATCTGCTGCCAATCCTTCTTTTTGCTGAGGAAGACTGGCCATGAGCTAACATCTGTGCCCATCTTCCTCTACTTTATAGTAAATCTCTACTTTATATGTGGGATGCCTAGCACAGCATGGCTTGACAAGCAGTGCCATGTCTGCACCCGGGATCCGAACCGGCGAACCCTGGGCCGCCGAAGCAGAACGTGCAAACTTAACCACTGTGCCACCGGGCCAGTTCCTCACCTGTGGAATTTTTAAGTATCTGATTACCTTGTAGGAGAATAACCAGTGAAAGGCAACCGTGGGAAATCACTTTGTAAAGAGTTATTTTGAAAGTGAATTAATACTTAGCGAACATTCACGGAAATCTCAATTCTAACATATATCTTGAGATTTCTTAACTAGAGAAGGATTAAATGAGAAGCAGATTTTCAACTGTTCTGTCTGTAGTTTCCCCCCAAAATCAAGGGAAGGAAAAGTGGTAGAAGAAAGTGCCACTGTTTTGTGTAAAAACAGGGGCTTTTAGAAAATAGCTTACAGTACTCGGGCAGTGACTTTGTGTTCTGGAAAGCCCTGGAGCTCGCACAACATGTGAGAGTATTTCCACCCCTGCTTCAGGACCTTTCACTGTAGGTGAATTTAGGAAACCACATAGCCAGACTGGAGCCTGGTGGAGAAGGGAGGGGGCCGCGCATCCCCATGTGGCGTGGGGCTCACGGGGGTCTTACCCAGTCGGTTGCACGGGTTCCGTTTGAAGAGGGCTCTGAGCAAACTCTGGGCCTCCAGGCTGAGGAACTGTGGCATGCCCAGCTTGGCTCTGAAAAACAGAGGTGGCTTTTAGGATGAGAAGGACGAGCCCTAAAATGACCAGAGTTTCTTCAGTCCTTTGCAATCCTGCTCAGTCAGCATCAACAGACAAATCTAAGTGACCCAGAACAGGAGCACCCAAACTTTTGGCTCTTAGGGCCCTTTCATGCCTTAAAAGTTACCGAAGGGCTTTGGTTTATGTGGGTTGTATCTGTGATGTTGACCGTATGAGAAATTAAAACTGAGAAATTTTTACAATGGCTATTTAATAATTCATTTAAAAATAATAAAGCCACTAAAAAATAAACAATAACAATCCCACTCACATAATATTTTTAATGGAAACTATGTTTTCCAAGACATCAACAGCAAAGTCTTTCCCAAGGAGAGTGGCATTGTTCTCACTTAGGAATCTCTCCCTGGTCTGATAGGAGACTGCTGGATTCTCTTATCTGCCTTTGCATTCAGTCAGCTGCAATACTATGAAAAAAATCTGGGAAGGGAGGACCTTGCAAGCGCCTGGAGGGGCTCAGGCCCCCAGGGGTCCTCAGACCACCCTTTGGGAACCATGGGACCACAACTGGATGCTGCTCCCTCAGAAAACACTCTGTCACTCCCAAGTGACCAGTCACGAGTCCACACCTGGGACTTAGGGACTATTCTAGCTGGAGGGAATTATTCCAGCTTGAGAAAAAGCAAAGATCTTGTTCCCCCTTAAAATGAAAAGAAACAGAGTTAATCAGTACAAAAATAAGACAAACTACAGATGTCGCCCACAATGTAAGGTCACTTGATACAGAAAGACACCGATTAAATCCTCGCCACGGGGCTTCCTCCACTAATCTCTCCTTCCATTAACAGAATGATGAAATTTACAAAAACTTAATTTATAACTTCTTATGTGCCTCTTGATTTTATAAAAGTCACCTGTCCATTTGCAGGGTTTGAGAGAGCTGGTCATGAGGACAAGCAGCTTTACGGTTTCTCCTTCTGCTGCAGTAAGTTCTCTCCCTCGACTTGGAGTTCACCGTCTACCTGTTTCTGGGGCCACTTCCCCACTCCCGTCCATTCTCCTCTCTCCTTCTTCCCTCCCAGATCTCTCCCTTCTGACCTCTTGCTCAGATGGAGTCTGCTCACATTTAAGACATTATAGCAAGACCTGCACTGGGTTTAGACTTCTTTCGAGGATTCTAAGAACAAAACCCATTTGCGGGGTAAGTGATTCTTCATGAGAATTAATCAGAAAATTATGTTTGCATTCAGTCACATGGGCAATGTGATTCCTGCCGACACCAGGCAGGAGAGCTCAGGTACCTGCACGAATGGGGTCACAGGAAGAGAAGGGATGGAAACCGCTGCCCCTGCCTTCTCCCTGGAGCCCCTAAGGCCTCTGCACTTCTGAATCTGTTAATTTGCTTCTGAAGGTCACCAATCATCGCATCTAAAAACCTGCCATTGGACAACTTAATTTTTACTGATGGAAACCTTTATCTATGGTAGAGGAGTTCATCAGAGTCACTTGGTGAACCCATTCACAGTTGGCCATTTACTTTGCCCACTCTAATTAAAAGGCCAAGAATGCTTATTATCATTATTGCTAATGCCTACTTAACAATCCTAGTTCTCAAGACTGAAGCTCTTCAAATCCAAAGGTGCTAACAAGCACTGGGGTGGATCCCCAAGGGTGGGTGTCTCCTACTCACTTGAGGATGAGGGCCATGGTCTCCTTCCTGTCCTTCCCCTGGAACGGCAGAGACCCCGTGAGCATCTCAAACTGCAGAGCAACACAGACAGGGAGAGCGAGTGTTCAGACTGACCGGATTCAACAGTAGAGAGCCCCAGAATCAAAATGCCACAGAAGTCATTTATCCATTCAAAATCCTGATCAATTCAGTGTAGGCGTTGGCCGACGTGCCTGATGCACATCCGTGAACTGAAATGCCTCAAGGAGCTCCAAGTTCACTGGGGAGATGGACACACGATAAACACAGTAAATAATTCATCTCCATGGAAGGTGAGAAGGTGCTAGGTGCTGCGGAGAGAAGAAATACGCAGGATGCTGATGGATGGGAGGGGACGGCAGTTTGGGCCACACATCTTCACGGGTGCTGGTTGAGGACCCTGTCCTTCTCTGGTGGGTTGTTGGGAGGGGCTGAGCGAGGAGGAGGAGAGCTGACCTGTACTAAATGCTCATATGTATCAGGACAGGGTGGAGAGCCGTCTGCTCACCAGGGCGGAACGGCCCCTGACTTCAGTCCATTACCAACATCTGGCAAAAACAATATGGCACCAAGAACTTCTCCAATACAGGCTGCCACACACCAAAAATACTAGGTGGACGTCGGCCAGGATGGAGCTTGCGATAAAGGCAGGATTGGGGAGTAGACTTTCCTGAGCAGGGATTTCCTTCCCACCCAAACAGCCCTGATTACAGGGCTCTGGAAGCAGTGGCCTGGAATCACAGAATTTACCGAACAACATGCACATCGGACCACTTCTGAGGAAAGGAACTGGGGCGGCAGCCACAGCAAATCCTTTTCTTCCGCAGAAGATGCTGCATCTAACTGAAATGTGCTAAAGTGCGCATCCTCCCAGGGTCCTCATGTCAGTTACATGATAAGAAAGCAGCCTCAGTGCAGGAGTTTATATGGTCTTATTCAATTTCCCTGGTCCTGATTCTTGACTGCATATGTCTCTGCCCCTTTTAAACTTATCTTCCAGTATTTTTCCTCTGCATTGTGAAAATCTTGGGAAATACATCAAAACAGAGAGACCAAAATAATCACCCATTATTCCATTACCCAAAGATAATCGCAATTAGCATTTATTTCCTTCTAGTACTTTCTTCAAGTGTATCTTTCAAACATAAATAAGGTTTTATATACTAACTTTTCACAGAATAATATAAAAACTTCAAATGATTATTACAAAATCTTTGTAATATCACTTCATGTGTGGATATGCCAAAATATAATAGTTTACCTATCACTGGACACTTATGATGTTTCCAATTTTCCACAATTATAAATAATACTGAAATGTACATAAAGTTTTCCTAAGATGTGGAGTTATCCTAATGATAAAACTAGGAAGGAAATTACAAGATTAAATAAATGAATGGATTTAAGGCTTTATTAGTATTAATTGGTCTACTTTCTGAAAGCAGATTTTAAAAGAAATTTAGAAATTCCTGCCCGTTCAGATGTTGAAATGCCGCCCTATCAGGTTAACATTCGCTGACCATCCCATGTGCGCCCATTAAGTGAAGACTCACAGAGCAGACAGGCCGCAGGCAATCAATCAATATATAAGCAATAAAAATCGAGAGTAAGAGAGTCCAGACGAGAATCTAAAAATAGACAAACATAACTAAATTGCAAGGCTAGAATGTTGACTACAGATGAGCTGTTCAGCTGATAAAATAGGACGAAAGTTTGTATGTTGATCATACAAATTAAAATATCTCTTAAAGTAGGTTCATATTAGCAAAGAAAATTCCCTGACCATTTTGGTTCTTCTCTTCTCTCTTTCTCTCTTCTCTTCTTTCTTTCTTGAGTCTACTATGAATGAAATTCCATTTCAACAAAAATGCTTTCTGGCCACGTGACATGAGAAAGCTATTACTCGACTCTGGCCATTTATCTTTGCTATAAAGATGGTGCCCAACCTGCCATCTGTATATTATCTAATTATTTATTATAGATCAACCAATATCTTGCATGTATCCATTCAGTGATTACTTTAAGCTTTGACTGTGGCTCTCTAACGATCAGGGTACAAATCCTTTGTGCTTTTCTCTCTCCATCCCCTTTTTGCGTCCACATTGTTTCATCCCATGCAATTAGCTACACAGTGGGAGGTCCTGAACCATTTATTAACATCCAACGCAATGGCATACATGGGTGTTCAATAAATGCTTCTCGATGATGAAGATGACGATGGTGGTGGTGGTGATGACGATGAAGCTATTTATTTTTTCAGCCTACCCCACTCATGGTACTTTGGCTTCACTTCCAGCCCCCTTAAGAGTTCCCCTTCTGTCAGATGTGGAGAAAGATCATTTCAGCATTTCTGTTTTGAACAAAGCCGCTCAGGAATTTCTCTGTATTTAGGTATTTCATTAAATCAGTGTATTACTGATGAGCATCCCTGGGACATTACATATAATACGTGTTTTTTTGCTCAAGTGTTGAACAATCCCGAGACTGACCAACATTTCCAGGGCAAACTGATAAAAGTCATAGCTCATTGTGGGGTCCCACATTCAAATACACGTGCTGGGGGGCACCCCAAGTAATACATTCACAAATCAGCACCAGGGCAGGCCTCAGAAACGTACAGAGGGGACCAGATGAGGTGCGGGTGCAGCTTCACTGTGAGCAGTTACGATGCTTCCAGGAAGATGAATAACTTGATGAATTTAAAGCAGTGGTTCTCAACTGGGGACAATTCTGAGACATTACCCAATGTCTGGGGAGAGCTTCGATGGTCAGGACTGAGGGCGTTGGGGGGTGTTGGAGCGTACGGGACAGACTAGCCAGTTCACACCTCTTGAGCACTCACCATGTGCCACACCTACTCGGAGTGGGTTAGATGTCTACGCCGACCTGATCCTCCAACAGCCTCAGGAGGAACGTGTGGTTTTCAGACCCTTTCACGGGGGTGGCCCCTGAGCCCTGACCCAGCCACATTTGTCACAGCACTGTAAGAACAACTGGCCAGTCACCTGCGTGTGAACGCCCACACACGCAGCACCAGTGGTTAAGAAAGGCAAGGAGAACGTGAGGTGGTCTCACGTATGAAACAAGAGCGATCAGGAGATGTTTACAAAAATCTGCAAAACACAACCCAAATATCCTTCTAAAAACTGATTTTCAGGGGCCGGCCCTGTGGCCAAGTGGTTAAGATCAAGCGCTCTGCTCTGGCAGCCCGGGGTTTGCTGGTTCAGATCCCTGGTGTGGATCTAGCACTGCTCATCAAGCCACATTGGGGCAGCATCCCACATACAATAGAGGAAGATGGGCACAGATGTTAGCTCAGGGTCAATCTTCCTCAAAAAACAACCCCCCCCCCAAAACTGACTTCCAGACAAGGGGGGAGATGGGCTGGTAATTCACTATCACATGGAGCCCAGTCTTATCTGTTTAAGTTCTTTTCCCATTATAAGTACCTAACTTCAGATATTCAATTTTTTTGAAGAAGATTAGCCCTGAGCTAACATCTGCTGCCAATCTTTCTTCTTTTTGCTGAGGAAGACTGGCCCTGACCTAACATCTGTGCCCATCTTCCTCTACTTTATATGTGGGACGTCTACCACAGCATGGCTTGACAAGCAGTGCCATGTCCGCACCTGGGATCCGAACCAGCCAACCCTGGGCTGCTGAAGCGGAATGTGCAAACTTAACTGCTGTGCCACCAGGCCAGCCCCTGGATATTCAATTTTGTTCAAGGACAGAGATTTCCTCCCTCAGTGTGAGGTGTCTTCTTTCGAGCTCTGTGGAGGGATTCTCAGATGGATTGAGATTCCATCCGTGGATTCGCAGATGACACGGGTTTAGTTCCTCGATGAAGACATTCAAGGAAAGGATGGGCGTGACCCCTCAGTTGTGGATACGTTCCCTTCATGGTCTACACCTTCTTCAAAAAAGCCAGTGGAGGGATCCTTATAAAGACAGCATGCTCTAACCTCATCTCCTCCCAAGGCTTAGCTAAGATGCCGCACTAAAGGCCCCACTGGACCCCTCTCTATGGCAAATGGGAATTTGGAAGCCACTCCTGGTGCTGCCCAAGGACGTGTCGCAAGCAACAGTCTCGACATCTGCCTGCAAGCTGGTTACCGCGTGCTGTCAAGAGGGTCAGGTGGGCAAGGACTCAGGGAGAAGGGGTTTTTAGAGCAATGAGGTGATTTTAAAGCAATCTCTTATGCTCTTTGAGCCTTGTTTCCACTTCTGGAAACAGAAAGAATATCTTTCCTCTGTAACTTAAAGATTTTTTGGTTCAATCAAATGTGAAGGTGCTTTCTAACTGTGTGTTGTACAGACTCAATCTGTCATCACTGGGACACGCACTTACTCCTCCTTCACGCTAGTGAGTGAGATAACAGTCCTGGAACTGGCGCCATCCACTTCCTCAGCTGTCACGAGACACTGAACGTGGAGTCCTTTAGACTAAAATGACTGGACTATTTCAGCAAACAAGTGAGAAGTGCCCTGTGCCCAGAGAGAAAGGTGGCTGGACAATTCCCGTGTGTCAACCGTGCCGGACAGCAGCCGCAGCAGGCCCCCCTTCAGTAAAGCATGGAGCCATCTCACCACGTCAACACCAATCTTCAGAGCCTTCCCAGAGCGCTGTGATGGGAAGGACAGGGGACCCGGGGAAGAGGTGAGGGCAGGGGAGCCCAGGCGCCTCTCTGCTTTCACAGTCGTGTCAGCCCTGCATGCGGGGCACAGACCTTCCTGGGCACGGGCACTGCATCTGTGCTGGGGACCACAGTGACGGTCACCTGGTACTTAGGAACCACCCTGTGCCGGGGAGATGCTGGCAGAGATGGATGTTCACAGCATAAGAGGCCAGACGTTGTAACAGCAACACATTAAAGTGCCAAGCAGACATGAAACACAGACCCATCAGCTCGGCCGGGGGCAGAATTAGAGAAGGTTCCAGAACTGACTGTGCTCTCGTCAGGGAGGATGTGGAGGGAGAAAATTGGGGAGAAGCTCGAGGAAAGGAGATCAGCTCAAAATAAGTCCTATTTCTTCTTTTCTTGTCCCTCTTTGTTTCTCTATCTCTGGATTTCTTCTCTCAATGTCTCTCTCTCTCTGTCTCTCTCTTGTGTGGGTGTGTGTAGTTGTTTTTCTTACAATCTTTTTTTTTATATGTCTTTGCTGTTCTTTTTTTCCTTTCAGCTTTTCCACTTATTTCTTTAGTATCCAATGATTTTGACCAGAAAAAAAATTTTAAGGTATATTTTATATTTCTATATACGTGTATATATATTTTATATTTGTATATATGTATATTGTATATATGTGGGATAGATTTTATGGTCCATCATCTTATATACAGAAACAGATTAGAGGCATATCATCTTCTCCTTTCCCTTAGAAACCTCACAAAACTAAATCAGGCGACCTTTGACGGGTGTGCGGTTTTGGGTGCAGTTTTCTCTGCTGTGTCGGCTGGCCAAGACAGCCCTTCTCTCCAGTCTCAGGCTGGCCTCTTGTTCTTTTAAACACTGGTTACACCGAGATACACGTGGCAGCAATTTGTGACTTTAGTTCATCAGAAAAAGGGTGACCTGGAGAAAGGCTGTGTGGTCATTCTCAACCCCAGTTTATCCGCTACCTGTCATCTTTACGGGCTTTGGGTTGGATTCAAGAGGAAGCGATAACAGCTGGAGGTCACCCAGGGAAGGACAGAGGGAGTGTAGAGATGGGAGGCAGCAACAAGATGAAGCCTGGGGTCCCCTAAGGGAGCCCACCTTGCCCTCCAGAGGAATGTGCTTTTCAGCAAGGTGGGGGCTTAAGAGGTGGAATTGCTCCTGAAGAGGCAGACCTGGAACCTTGGACCTATAACCCAGTGTCAGGAAGGTGACATCAAACTTCCAGTATAGGCTGCAGCAGGTACCATGAGGCGGACCACCCCCACCCCCACCAAACACCCTCCAGACAGGGAAACACAGGAAACCACACATATGGATCGGCAGGGCTGTGATGCAAAAATCAACTTGTAGAGAGCAAAGCTAATGAATTGTCTCATTAACATATCTAAAGAAGGACCATTCAACCAGAAGGTGAGCAGAGCAGGAAAGAGTCTAGCGACAGCTGTGGGGGGCTTATCTCGGTGGTCTCCAGCATGGAGATGGACTGTCTCTGAGCAGATGCCATCAAATGCCTGAATGATCATCAACACAATAGACGTCCCCATCATCCTCTTTGCTAACATTTATGGAGCCCTTATAATGTCGCAGACTTGTTTCAATCACTTCGCTTGTATTAACTTGTTCAATTTGCTGTGATTCCGTTTTACGGAGCAGCCTTCTCATTATAATTTGACTTTCCTTGTAGGTGGCTGACACAGGAGAGAATGTGCTGACCCCGGAGACAGGGGCACTCCCACCAACGTGATGAAGACATCTCTTGTCATAAATCTGTGAACTGGCCTTCTGGTTCAAGCCCTGCAAGCCGGCCTCCCGAGCTGGTTAATGTACATCTGCCCCCGCAGAGAGAGGTTAGCGGTCTGTGTGCTGACGAGTCGACCACAGCCAACATTTCTGAGCCCACAGGGCCGGGACCAGAACCTAGAGACCAAGTGACCACTGCTCCACGAGTCCTCCTGGGTACCAGGCTAATTCTCTAGGCAACACCTCTGGACCGTGGGTACAGGACGCAGCCCAGTGGTACCACAGTCCGGGGATGAGGCGTGTGGTGTGGTGGGAAGAGAGCTGGCCTGGACACTGATGGAAGCTGGGTATGGAATGCACATGGCTGTGCCCAGTGCTAGCTGAGTGACCTTCATCAAATCTACTGAAACTCTTGTGGCTCCAGTTTCCTTGTTAAATGCCCACAATGGAGGGCTTTGGACAACCCTAAAGAGTCACGATGCTGCTCACCCAGTGTCAGATTCCATGGTGTCAGAAGTCTGGTCTATGCTGAGGGCTTGGTGAGCACGGAGGGGCCGTGAGCACAGTGCCCGGCTGGGAGGATGGGCAGAGTGAGAGGGCGCAAGGAAGGGAGGAGAGGAGGGGCCATGTGGGGATTGGGGAAACGGAGCCCACACCATTTCTCTTATGACTACAGAATACCCTGTCTAGACGGTGTTCCGTTCTATGCCCTATCTTTTTGAACACATGATCTAAAAATTCAAGTTTCTAGATGTCGATGTAAAAATACTTAATTTCATGTATATTTTGGCTCATGTTAATTTTTATGACTCAGAGGGAAGATTTTGTGTTTGAAACAAGAAAAATATCTTTCATATGGAAATGGTTGTATGCCTTAAAATCCTCACGTTAAATCAGTAAGAGCACTAAGTATAAAAAAGGTTTGACTCTTCACACATTGGCATCCTTATTTGAATCCCAGTTCCGTTTCCCGATGATGGAAGTTTGGGACGGACAGCGAAGGAGGCTGCCAGGAAGTGCAAGCGTCAGGAATTTGGGGGCCTCCTCCGTGTCCTGAGTCACATTAACGGGCACTGGTTGTCTACATTTCAAGCCTTGTTTTCCTCGGGTCATTCCTGACCTCTGAACCAACCCGGGGATGGGAAAGTTCACGGGGAACCAGGACAAGCGGCACTGAAGAGGAGGGGGGGCCATTACCATCAGCACACCGAAGGACCACCAGTCTGCGCTCTGCGTGTGTCCTCGCCGGTTCACCACCTCGGGAGCCATGTATTCTATCGTCCCACAGAATGAATAGGCTCTCTTGTCGTGGTCGATGGCCTCCTTACTCAGCCCGAAGTCTAAAGGTGAACACAGCACACAGCACTCATCAGTCTTAGAGTGGCCTTCAGGACCATTCCCACGCTGACCCCTAACCAATGAGCTTCAGCGTCACTGACGTGAACTCTGCCTGACTGGGCATCCTTCTCCTACCCACTCTGTTTGGGAGCAACAGAACCCTCCTGGCATGCAGGCGTCATCATGCCCACGCACGCTGGGCAAAGCCTGGTAAGTTCCCCAAGTCAAAATCCTTTAGGAACCTGCAAATTCAGGACTGCCTTGTAACAATATCAAGAAGTTGTATGTCTTAGTGACCACGTGGATCCCCCGGGAGATCCGTTTGTTAATAGAGACACTCAGGTGGAATGTGGAGCTCTGACGCTGCAGGTCAGCGGGCCCGGGATGGAGAGAAGCATGTGGTGATAGGAAGAAAGGTGCTGGCTCTGAAGAAAAGGACTGGAAAGGCGTTATGGGCAGAAGGCTACTTGGGAAAGAGGTCCCTGGTTGGTGAGGCACAAAGGGGAAGAAGACAAGTCTGATAAGGATCTTAGAGCATTTGGGGGGGGCATGCAATGAGCACCGTCCCATCTACTCCCTCCTGAAATCTTCAGTCAACTCTCCCCTCCTTCAGTGCCTGTGCGTTAACGCACTTTGTGGATGACGGACACAGTGAACGCATGGGTTCTACGATTCCAGCACCTCTCTGTGAAAATAAGGATGATGTCACTTCCTTCCAGGCCATGTGAGGATGAAGCACGATCGCAGGCTGACTGAGAACAGCAAACACCCTCGGAGGTGTTGCTCACTCGTTGCTTAAGTGACTTGTTTGCACATTAGGGTCTTGGGAGTTTGTTTGTAATTTGTGCCTGGCCCAAATGACAAATTATTGCATATTATTAACTTGAGGTCATGCATAAGCAACAGAGACCATGATAATTAGGTCAGAGAAAGCCAAAATTCTATAATACTACAGATAAATTTGACACGGCAGCTCCATACTTATTCCAGCTACGGCTGCACACGCGTGATTTAGAGAATCACGCACAGACCCTCAGTCAGCAGAGAAAACTTGTAAAGAATTAGCAGAATGTGAAATCTCCACAAAATGCCACAGGGACACTTCCCGAAACAGCTCGACCAGGTGCAGAAGTTAATTTTACTTTCTCAGCCTGAAGGGTTTAGTTTCTTCTGCTGTCATAGGTGTGGGAAGGCACAGAGACATCAACAACAGAGCAAACCAGAATCAGCACGGGGGGGCAGCTCCCAAGAGCTGCTGAAGAGGCCACAACTGTTGATCAAGTGACACTGCAGGTGTCCCAGAAGCTGTCCTTCACCTGCCAGGAGCGTGTGGTCTCGAGGCTCTGTTAAACGGAGAGCCACAATCTTGTGTCCGAATTCACGAGAAATTTGAAGAGTCTGGCTTTGCAACATTAACAAGCACTTAAAAATATTTACTGACATTTACTGTCAGCTACTCTGTGGACTCCGCAAGACACTGGGGACCCAGGAGGACCGGGAAACCTGCCCTTGAAAAGAGAGGGTGTGGTGACATGCAGCTAAGTAACCGAGCAGCTGTGAGACTGTGTGGGGGACGCGGAGCAGAGATGGGGAGGCCTGGGGAAGAAGCGGCCACCGGGGTAAGCAGTGAAGGTAGAACGGAGGTCGACCAGGTGCCCCAAGCAGGGATGGCTTCCTGACAGAGGTGAGGAGACAGCGTTCATTCAGGGATGGACATGCGGGAGCGGGTGAGTGCGGAGATGGGGCCAGGATCAGGTCAGCGGGGTGGCCGGCAGAAGGGCTCCGAGAGACATCCACATTCCAACCTGCAGAACCTGTGAATAGGTCACCTCACGTGACAAAGAGGGCCCTGCAGGTGTGATGAAGTCAAGAACCGTGAGATGGGGAGGTTATCCTGGACGACCAGGTGGGCCCATGAAGCACAAGGCTCTTATGTGGAGGATGCGGCTGTGAGCCGAGGGATGCGGGCAGTTCCTAGGGCCTGGAGAAGGAGAAAGAATTCTCCCCTGGAGCCTCTGGAAAGGGACGCAGCCCTGCTGACACCTGGATCTCAGCCCTGAGAGACCGACTTTGGACTTCCGGCTTCCAGAACCATAAGATAAGATAACAAAACAAAGATAAGATAAGTGTGTTGTTTGAAGGCACCAAGTGTGTGGTAATTTGTGACAGCAGCAAGAGGAAACCAATGCCAAGTAGGCGTCATGGAACTGGAGGGTAAGCTCTCAGTCTGGTTGAATTTGGTGGCGATGGGAGGGGCCTGGGGTTTCAGTAGGGAGACTGGTCCCTCGGAAATGATGAAGGCGGGAAGGGTATGGCGGTGACAAGGACCATGGGGCTGGAAAGTGCTAAAGTGAGATCACGGATATTTGCCCTAAGATCAGGGCTGTGCGTCGAGATTCTTGGACACAACATCCAGTGATGCTGAGAGTCTGCAGGGAAGGTACTAGAAGGGTCTTAGGTCAGAGGAGAGAAGGAAAGGAGGGCCCACCTGGGAAGTCTGAGCATTTCGAGATGCTGTGAGGACACACACCAACATAACTAGTCCATAGTTAGGAGAAATCAGCCAACTCAGAGACATGCATCTAGAAGACCGGTGTGATAACACCTTTGGCTTTGAGTGGGTCCCTGGAATGACCAGGGCTGAAATGAGGTCACCGAGGGAGACTGTCGTCTTTTACAAACCTGTGATCTTAATATGTCCCTCTTCATCCAGGAGGATGCTGAAAGAAAGAGGAAGAAAAGAGATGATTTAAAAGAGACGAGACATGCTGGGGGGGTACGTGGACCTCAGGGGGACACACCCAGGGCCACTAGGGCCGCAGTCCCCAGCCGGGGGTTCCTCGAGCTCACAGAGGTGGGCTTTCAGACTACTGTTTCCCTTGTCTGCAGCTCCTGCTGAGTCAGGAGCGTATTCAGATCCACGGTGTCTGGGGAGGCAGAGGGGCTCCCTATGTTCTTGTGTCTGGTTAACCAGGCAAACGCAGGGGACAGCACATTTGAGACCTTCTTACGCCCACCGGGAAGGTTCAGGAATCTTCTAGACGGTCCTGCGTGAAGAACAGGACTGGGAGGGTCCAGGATTGCCCTGGCCTGTGGAGACCTGGAGCCTCTTGGAGGGGATTTTTCTGTACCCAGGCAGGCCCTTGCTGGCCAGAGGCCTGGCTCCTTCTCCCCAGATCTTTCTGTGAGCCCTGCCCTGGCTCTTGGGACCAACGTGACCTCTGGGGAGGCCTGTGACCCCTTAGGCCTCAGCACCAAGGAGCCTTGGGGCTCTGCCGCCTTCATCTTGTTATAAGATCTGGTCCCACGGAGTCCCTGCCTTGCTCGCTGGTCCAAGCCCTACTCACGCCAGCGTCTGACTCCAGATGCCCGGGCAGGGAGCGGTGGCCTTGCTCCGCCCACCTGTGGTAGGGCACAGCACACTCTTCACTGGAGGGAGCAGGGAGAGTGTGCAAGGGGCGGATACCGGCAAGCACCCCAAGACGCTATCAACCCTCAGGGCCTGGGGCTCCTAACGCCCCGGTTTCTCTGTTTGCTGTAATTAAGTCCCACTGCCCCAGCTCCTGGGAGGCAGCAGCCCAGCCCTAAAGAGCCCAGGGAGTGGACTGGAGCAAAACCAAAGCAAGGCTTTCAGGATTAATATGTGATACCCCAAAAACCCTAGGAGAGGAAGGAAGCGCTGACACCTGCGACCCCGTGGATGGACCTGGAGGACATTATGCTGAGTGAAAGAAGCCAAAGGATGTAGGATTTCACTTACACGAGGCTCCTAGCGCAGGGCAGTTCACAGAGACAGAAAGCAGAGGCGGGTGCAGGGGCTGGAGAAGGGGGCAGCGGGAAGTTAGCGTTCAATGGGACAGAGTTGCAATTTTGCAGGAAGAAGAGAGCCGGGGAGATGGATGGTGGGGACGGCTACACAGCAATGTGAACACTGTCCACACTGCTAAACTGGACGCTTCAAAATGGTTAAGATGCTAAATTTTAAGTTTATCTCACCATGGCTTAAAAAATCTGCCACGGGATGAAAAAAGATACCTACAATTTAATGGAAATGGGAAGGAGAGAGTTACAGCTTATAATTAAGATGACAATTTGTAATGAAAGTGGCAAATGTTCTTATCTTCACTTTTCAGTCATACCTAATCTTTGCCCAGAAATGAGCAACTTTCAAGACTAATTCCTTACGAGTCCAAATTAACAAAATCTTTGCCCTTCAGCGTTGCAATTGCATATTACTATTTTTAGCTGTAAAGGTCCTTTTGACCTTTAACAAGAGAGAGACCCAGGGGGCCCAGGGCTCACCCATGAGCATGTGGCTGAGTTGGATCTGAAATCTGCCTCATGCTCCCGCTCTCTTAAGGAGATGCTGTAGTTAATAGGATACTGTTCTCTCTGTGGGGACACTCAAGAGAGGGCCTTTTATGATGATTTAAATGTTTATTTAGGGGCCAGCCCAGTGGCGTAGTGGTTAAGTTCGTGCGCTCTGCTTCAGCGGCCTGGGGTTTGCAGGTTCAGATCCCAGGCACGGACCTATGCACTGCTCATCAAGCCAAGCTGTGGTGCCATCCCACCAACAAAGTAGAGGAAGACCAGCATAGATGTTAGCTCAGGGCCAATCTTCCTCACCAAAAAAAATTTTAAGAAGTTTATTTACATGTTCAGCTGGTGATGTTCTATCATGCTGGTGGTTATGTCAAAGCCACGCGTGGTACGCTCTTCCCTCTGGTCACAGGCAGACACACACTTTGCATCACGCATGTACATAACATGACCTGGTTTCTGGGCAAACCCAGATGCTTCCCATAAATGACTCCACATCTAATACAAATGGCTGGAGAGAGAGTTTGTGTTTTCCTCAGTTCAGTGTGGGTGAGAGTAAGGATCTGGAGCATGGGTGAATCCCACTTCTGAGCCCTCGGCCATGAGGTCTTAGTGTGGCTTGGGTCCCACCAGGTCCTGCCTGGTCCAGGGGCAGGTGTAGACCTCAGGCTCAGTGGGTGGTATGATGCGCCTCCCAGGACAGTGAATAGTGAGTGAGGAAATCAGGGACCCTGTTTAGGTCAGCCAACTGGACCTAAAATCGCATCCACTAGATTTCTACTTTTTCAAGTGGATAAACTCCTAGTTTTTGTATCAGCTCCACACAGAAAATACAAGAAAAAACCTGAAATGGGAAATCTATTCTTTTGGAGGGACTTTATTTCTTTAATTTAGAGTAGATTAGCAAAATATCCTAGAAATAACATTACAGATGATCATTGCTAAAGATACAAGAATCTCGCTTAGGAATCTGGTGCCACTGTCTTTCAGAAAAGCTCTCAGAAAAGCTCATCTGACTTGTCAGCTAGAAATGGGCCTGTTGAAGCAGTTGAAAGGGTTTCCTAAATCTAGAGGATGATGCAGAAGAGACAGAAAGGGAAGAGAGAAAGTAGCTTGGAGGTCGCCATGTCTGAGATGTTCCCAGTGGCAGGGTGAGCCCAACCTACAAGAGGGAGGCAGCCTCATGGCAGGGAGGGGCAGTGAATATAGAAGGGGGAGTAGTGGACAGGCTTCCTACGTGCCCAGCCTTACATGAACAGGAGGGACATGGGCCCTGGCCCTGCCTCCCTCACAGTTGTCATGGGCATTAGGTAAGAATGGGGTGGGACCATCCCCTACAAATGAGTGTAAGCCACACCTGTGTCTGAGCACCTTTTCAGGGACAGGCAGGTGGATCTGCTCACCCCCTTTGGAATCCCTGCGTGGGACGTGCCAGCCTGAGGATGTCTCCAGCCAACTTCCTGATGTGCACTGACGTGGGACATAAATACAGAGCAATGGCCACCGATGTGGGCCAGCAAGAAAGGGGGGTGTTGAGGACCGCGCCCTCCTGTTTTCTCACTTACTTCTCAGGTTTCAGGTCTCTGTAGATGATGCCCAGCCCGTGGAGGTGATCTAAAGCTAAGGCCAGCTCAGCCAAGTAGAACTTGACATCCTCCTCAGTAAACATGACCTGGCGAGTGAGAGAGAACAAGGCTGTTGAGCTCATCCTGCGATTGGCTTGTTTTAAAGAACTCTGCCAGAGAGAGAGCACGACTCAGCCCCTCTAAGTACACCCTCGGGTCGGTTTTGCTCTGAAGAAGATCGTGGGGCCCCCCAACCATCCTCTGCTGCCTCCTCTCCTGGAAACATGTGTTCTCTATACAGTTTTAAGACCAGCAAAGGAAGACGAGCCCTTCTTTGCAAAGATGCCTTAATTAGCCTTGTGAGCGGAGCCCTTAGATAGAGTCCTCTCCACCCCATCCCTCTCGCCCCCACAGATCATGCAGCTCTGGAGTGCTTTCTGGGTTTATATTTTAATATGAGTGCTTCCGATGTGAATTCACCACATTTTAATACAAATACCTAAACCGCACTGTGAAGGCCCAATGAGGAGCCGTGGAAAATGCATCTCAAATCTCATTCCTTCTCCCTCCAATTTGACATCTTCTCCTTGGCTGATGCAAACCAGTAACTGCTGGTCACCCAAAGTGGGATTAGTTCTACTAAATACAACACACAGATGGTGTAGATTCAGCGGGAGCGCCCCAAGTTGGGGGAGGCTGGTTGGAGAGGGCACGTGGGGTGTCAGGGTCCACGGGTTGGACACTCTGATTCAAGGAAGCTAATCATACACAAGGCCACAGTGCCCGGCAGACGTCACGGTCATCGTCTCATAGTGACATTTGCCTTTCCCCAGGGGTGTCAGAACCAGCACATCATTTTTTACAGTCACCTTCTAGGAAGGCAGATGGTGATCAGAAACCATTTTTGACATTCATCATGAGAAATCAGCTTCACAGAGACCAGAAGCCCATATCATCACTGAATTCTCTCTGAAGGCGGACACATGAAAACTCACTGCCTAATCAGAAGGCTGCCTGGTAGCATGGAATTGGGATGATGGCAGTTCAGAGAATTGAAGGATGAATACGTCAGACTGATGCAGAGGGAGTGCATCCATTCCACAAAAAGGATGCTTCCCCACGGGGCAGGGACATATGCCCCATGGTCCTGGACGGAGACATTTGGGTGCTGCCGACCCTCGCTGCCCCTCCGGCCACTGGGATCTCCTGTTCCATCTTCCACACTCAACCAGCACCTTTCCTGGTTGGGTGTTTCTTTTCTCAATTGGTTAATTTATTGGGTGGGCTTACTTAGAGTCAAATTCTGCTGGCTGGCAAATTCTCTTTCATCTGATTTATCTATCTATATAACCAACATGGGCGTGTCTGCAGTTTACTGCTCTGGTGCAACTGTAATTGTCCACTTGTCCATGTCTTAGGGGACTTCTCAGTGTGTCCCCAAGTACAGCTGACAAATACTGTCTCCATAGAAATGAAACACCCACTGATGTGAGTTCTTGAAGGCAGTTAGTATAGTGACCGACATGTGGAAGGATGTTGTCCAATGGACGCACTGAAAGAGAGAACGAAAGGAAAATCCTTTCCACGTGTTTCCATGAACTCCAAGAATCTGGGGCGCCCATGCCTGATAACTTTCCTTTTCCTCTGAAATAAGGGTTTGATGGGAGACCCATATCTCCGTTGTGAGGCGTGACAGGGCTTTTTGCTAATTATTGTAGCCTTTTGGTCAAGAAGCCCAATAACTGTGTCATACTGGATGCTGGACAACACCAAACCCAAGGGCTGACTTCTTGTAGATGAGAGGGGCAGGCGTCAGATCAGTAGATATCGGATGACAACTGGCAGGTCTCAAGGACTCGGCATCTTTGGAAGTGTGAGCACAGGCAGGAGGCACGTTAAACGAGCAGACACCTGCTCCCACAGGGACTTGTGTAGAACTTGGATCTGATCTTTCCAGCCCCAAGCTTTCAACCTATATTGCGAGGAGCCCAATATATCAGCTGTGCCATTGCCAAAGGGAGTGTCTGAAAACAGGGCGAGGGCAGCCCGAGGTCTCTGGGACACCCACCCGGCTCCACCTCAATCTACTGGTCACTTCAGAATTTCCTGCAGAATGGAGGGATCACCTGCTAAAAAGGTGGGAGGGGGAGAAAGGGGAGAGGACAGTTGGAACCCACTGTTAAGAGTCCAGTGAAAACTGCCATGCTGGGGTGAGGGCCAGAAGGACTGGAACCTGTCCTGTGCGTGGTAGTAACACGTGCTGTCTTCATCACCCTCTGTTCTGGATAAAGGGACACCCCCACCACCCTCTGTTCTGGATGAAGGGACATCCCGCCATCCTGCACAGAATCATCAGGACTAAAGCCCAGTATTCGAGTTGCCATGGGCAGAATGCTAGTTTTTTCCATCCCATGAAGCAGAGAGCTCTTCAAGTCAATTATGGGCCAGACAGCTTTCATGTTGCGCTGCCTAACATTCTGGAAAGTTCCATGTTAGGTAGGGTAAGGTCAAGGATAAACTCTAGGGTTGTGAAGCGGCTGGTGGTCATGGAGACCTCATGTCTGAAGACCCGATTAGAGGCTTCTGGAGCAGCTCCCAGGAGGCGCGGTCAGCGTGTCAACAGCATCTTCCTACACGGCAAGCAAGATACTGTGAAATAAAGTCTTTCCCAGTGTTTCATAACTGAGTTTCCATTGCCATCTGCTCTACAAGGGCAGTGAACAGAGTGCAACGGAAGGTTCTAGAGCTTCACAGGGGTCTTCGGAAGAGTCAGTTTTCTCAAGACCTTTCAAGGACAACGGATTTCTTCTTTGTGCAACTCGTGTGACTTCTTTAAAACGAATACACACACACACCCCCCAACACCTCCCACACCAAACACACACACTGCACACACACACCACACATATACATGCATGTGTGTACACACATACACTCTCAAACATATCACACAGTACACCCAGAGGCAAATGCAGACATACACACGATTCCCACGCACCCCACATACCCCACGTACGCACACACCACATACCCTCCTCCCCTCAGCGCTCTCTATCCCTCTTTGTCCCTCGGGTTCTAGACAGAAACCCACAGCCTGCCGCCTCCTGGAGGGCTGCTCACCTCTTTGGAGAGCCTGGTGAAGAGGTCCCCACCCCGCAGGAAGTCCAGAATCAGGTAGAGCTTTCCTTCCGTCTGAAAGGCTGCGGAAGGAGAAAGAGTTGAGCGTCTCGGCCGTTAAGGAGGTCCCCTGGGGGACATGTTCCCTTGGGTTCCGTCTCTTTGCAGCGCAAAAAGCTTGTCTCTGTCTCTCTGTGACTCAAATAATACTGTGTAGTCTGTGATGCGGGGTCATTTCAGAAACGGGACCCAAACCGGTTGGAGACAGCTTCCCGGGCAGAAACCAGGGAAAGGGAGCGGACGGTAATGAGCTCTGTCTCGCTCACTTTTTTTTTTTTTTAAAGATTTTATTTTTTTCCTTTTTCTCCCCAAAGCCCCCCAGTACATAGTTGTATATTCTTCGTTGTGGGTCCTTCTAGTTGTGGCATGTGGGACGCTGCCTCAGCGTGGCTTGATGAGCAGTGCCATGTCCGCGCCCAGGATTCGAACCAACGAAACACTGGGCCGCCTGGAGTGGAGCGCGTGAACTTAACCACTCGGCCACGGGGCCAGCCCCCATCTGTCTTGCTCACTTTTATTAAAGAGTCTGGAGATTTTTTTCTCCTTTCTTTCTTTTTTCTCCCGTCCTTCCCTCCCTCCCTCTCTCCTATCCTGCCTTCCTCCCTCCCTCCCTTCTTTCTTTCCTTCCTTCCTCCCTTCCTTCCCTTTTTCCTTTTTGAATCACAAAGGGGATTGAAAGATACAGAAGAGAGAAGTATTTGGATGTTCCCACTTGCTCTCACTATCGCCACTATTAATACAGGGCTTTGGGTTCAGCTGGGTCTCACTGCAGAGTCGGCTTTTGCTGTGGGTGCTTGGTGAGGCGCGGGATGACAGCCCTGACCATGTCTGGACAGTCTCCTCTCCTTTCAACAGAACTGCATTCTGTAGGACTCAGGGTTCAGGCATCAGTCATCTGATTCCTTCTTGGACGGCGGCATTGGTGACCGGCTGGCACGGCTACTCGTACTTCATGGCCCTGGGGTCTGGGTTTGACGGCTGTGTGCCACAGTGATAGTGCGTTGCTTGTTTCAGCTCTCGCCCACCACTCAGCAAGGGCATGCCTGCGTCAAGAGGGGGCTGCACGCCATGTGAGGGTCAAGAGAAACCACTCGCTCTTACTACTGGATGGTAGTTCAATGTTTTGATGACTTATCATCTGCCGTCTACTTTATATACGTAGGGAGGATGGCTGGAAGGGGTCCTAATATCCCTTGGTCCTTGAAAACTTTTAGTTTTCTAAAAGTAAGTCCTAGAAGCATTATCAATGTTGGAGTTTTAGAAACGTTTGGCTTCTAACCAGAAAACTCTTTGTCAGAATGGTGAGAACTGAAGCCTGGATTACATGCTCTATCAGAGCCTTGAAGGGCAGAAGGAGAACAAGTGTCTTCTGATCAACCACAGAGGCAACAGAGGGGATGCCTATAAACATCTTTGTAAGATGCCCAGTTCTTAACTTCTTTAGCAAAACACCCTGGAAACCAACTGAAATGACACCCGGGATTGGATCTGACACCTGTGAGTCAGCAGCGGTGGAGGCAGCAATGTAATGGGGGGGGGGGGGCAGCCTCCCAGCCGTCCGCCGTGGGACCAGATCCCAGGACACCTGCGCACAGGCCTGGGGGTAACGGTCACCACCCGGCTTCCGGCAAGCTCACATCCATATTTGCTTTTATTATTTGTGAAACCAGAGGCCACAGAACTTCCCCACAAGACTGAACAGTTGTCTTAGTAATATCAGAAATTAGCCAGCAAAGAGCTAGAAGTCTCCGCTCTCCTACCTTCGGGCGCGTGTTTATGCCTTTGCTGCCGATCTGTGTATGTCCCACGACAATCTCCCACCATTCCACCCTCCCCTGGTGCCTTTGAAACAACAGGCACAGTTTCCTTCTGTTCTTTCTGTACTGGACTCACATCCCTTACTCAACTGGGTAGTAAACTTTAAGGCAGTCTGGCACGACGCTGGAGTTGCCATTTCATTAATCATTTTTAATTTGAAGATTTCACTATTGCTTCTCTGAGGACATAAAAAGGCAGAAAGCAGGGGGCTGGCCCGGTGGCGCAGCAGTTAAGTGTGCATGCTCCCCTTCTCAGTGGCCCGGGGTTTGCCAGTTCGGATCCCGGGTGTGGACATGGCACGGCTTGGCAAAAGTCATGCTATGGTAGGTGTCCCATATATAAAGTAGAGGAAGATGGGCATGGATGTTAGCTCAGGGCCAGTCTTCCTCAGCAAAAAGAGGAGGATTGGCAGCAGGTGTCAGCTCAGGGCTAATCTTCCTCAAAAAAAAAAAAAAAAAAAAAACAAGGCAGAAAGCAAGCTAAGAGGATTTGTGTGGCACCACAGACATGTGGCCTGGGGTCCATTATGTGATCTGAGCCTCAGTTTTCTCTTTGGGAAAATGGAAACACTTATCTACCCGGAAAGGAAGTTTTGAGGGTTCAATGAGCTATGGTCTTTAAAATGCTTGAAATATGGGATTTGCTTAAAATGTAGGGCGTGTTACCGTTCTGGTTGAGAGAAATTATTGGGTGATAAAGCATTTTATTCTGAAACAATACAAAAATGTGTCACAGATTCATTCCCATGTAGGTCAAGAGACCGTTTTTTTTTTTATTTTAGCACTTTATCAATGACGATAATTTAATTAATGATAACATAGAGCCCCTCGGAGTAGGTCTTTGAGATGAAAATCACGTGTCTTGCTCCCTCAGAGAAGAAGAAGGCAAGAGATTAAGGAAGTAGGAGAGGAGATAACCCTCCCCAGACAGGACTGACGCTCTGACATAGGGAGGGTTTTCATCTGATTATTCTTTTTCCTCAATTTCCTTTGTTTTGGGGAACGCTGCCCTAGGTTCTCTCAAAAGTAGGTTATTTTTTACGCTATTTACCATAATGAAGCTTGACAATGAAAGGGTGATTCACTTCTGCCAAAATGTCTCTCTCCATCTTTGATCTCACTCGGTCCCGAACTGCAAAACAGGAAAACGAAGGCTTTCAAGAGGAGGAATGAGAGTTCTGGAGAACATGGAATACAAAACATCAGATATAAACAATTCCCCCAACTGATTGTTACAAAAATTTTCAAACACGTACAAAAGCAGAAATAATGATGATTATCCCTAAATCCTCCACTAGACTCAAGAATTGTGTTAATACATTTGTGCTGTCTCCACACATACACACATTTTGGTAAAAAATCTGACAATAAATTGTCCACACAATGCCACTCGATCCTTGGGTGCATTTGCACACAGCATTTCCTAAGAATAAGGACAATCTCTCACATAACTAACGTGACTGCCACCTCTAAGGAAATGAGCAATCATTCCATAATATCACCCAATATCCAATCCATATTCCACCCCCGGCCCATGTCATTGACAGCTGCTATAATTTTCTCTAACCTAGGATCCAGAAAAGGTTCACACATTATATTCGGTTGTTATCTTTCTCTATTCTTTTTGCTGCTAGGATAGAAGAGTTGCACTTCTTTTCTTCTCCCTGTGCTTTTTCGTAGACTTTTCAATAAGTGCAGGCGAGCTCTCCTGCAGACTGGTCCACTGGGTTTGTCCAATTGTTGCTTTACTGTTGCTCTAATCCTTTATTTCCTGTAGACCAAGGTTAGGTCCAGAGGCTGTATAAGATTGAGGCTAAACATTTTTGGCAAAAATACCTGCCAGGAGATGCTGTGCACCTAAGCTTGCAGCAGCCGCGGTGACGATGCTGTGTTAGCTTGCTAAGTGAAGCTGAACTGGATGACGTGGTTAAGGCGACAAGTCACGGATCTTTCATTGTAAAGACCCACATGGCCCTTTGTAAGTAATGTCACCTGCAGCATGACATTTTGGCCTCCAATGGCTGTGGGTTCCTAACAGTCCTTCATCCGGGAGTGTCAGCATACTCATGTGATCCTTGCTTGAGTCATTTAGGGCTGCAAAATGCATTTTTCTCATTTCTGATGGAACTGGAAATCAAGAGGAAGAGTCCTTCTTTTTCTCTCTCCCTGAGGATAACTATGTAGACTTTTTAAAATTTAGTGTGTTATAACCAGCTACAACATGATTCTTTTTGGTCCTCACATGGTCCCAAGCTTAGCCATCTGGCAATACAGATGTAATTAGTTTTGAGGCAAAAATAAACAAAGAAGGATTACCATTTGAGAATAAGAACAATTGCAAATTCCCACAAGTGAACTGGTCCACCCAGGGCAGCATCCAGTGACCTCACACGGGCCCATGTAAGTGCTGGCAGAAACTTCCTTAAGCATTCACAAGTGAGACAAGTATGGTAAGTAATGCACCACTGGGCCAGGCATTTACATTCACCCTTTTTTTGGTCTTGTGATATATACTTTTAAAGTTTTATTTAAGAAGTCCTTGTCTAAGGATGGCTATAATAAAAAAAAAAAAAAGAAAGAAAGAAAGAAAATAAGCGTTGGCAAGGACATGGAGCGGTGGGAACACTGTGGAGCCGTTGGTGGGAATGCAAGATGGTGCAGCTGCTGTGGGAAACAGCTTGGCGGTTCCTCAAAAGGTTAAACATACAACTACTATAGGACCTAGCAATTCCACTCCTAAGTATTTATGTAAAAGGACTGAAAATGGAGACTTTAACAGATACTTGTACTCCCGTGTTCACAGCAGCATTATTCACAACCACCAAAAGATGGAGGCAACCCAAGTGTCCGTCAGTGAGTGAATGGATAAACAAAATGTGGTGCTTCCATACAATGGAATATTATTCAGCCTTAAAAAGGGATAAAATTCTGATACACACTACAATATGGATGAACCTTGAAAACATTACGCTAAATGAAAGAAGGCAGACACAAAAGGAGAAATATTATATGATTCTGCTTAGATGAGGTACTTAGAGTCATCAAATTCATAGACACAGAAAGCAGAACAGTGGGTGCTGGGGCTGGGGGAGGGGGAATGGGGAGTTGCTGTTTAATAGTGACAGAGTTTCTGTTTGGGAAGATGAAAAGTTTTGGGTATAGATAGTAGTGACGGTTACACAATATTGAGAATGTTTTTAATGCCACTTACAAATGGTTAAAAGGACCAATATTATATTATACATATTTTATCACAATTAAAGAAAAAAGAAGTCCTGCCTCACTCCCGGGTCACAAGGACAGCCTGCTACATTTTGCTCTGTTAACTCTAGTTTCACCATTTGCATTCAGGTGTCCAGGCTTTCCGGAGTCCAGCTGAGCTTTGGTGCCATGACCATGGTACGCTCCCCGACAGTCTATGACAGAGTAGCCTGGTGGTGGAGGGTGACTCTTGAGCTTCCAGCCTGGGTTTACATCCTGTGTCTGTCACTCACACATTGTGGGCTGCTCTCTGCTCAGTTTCCTCATCTGTGAAATGGGGATGATAGGGTACCCATCTCACAGGAATACTGTGAGAAGGGAATGAATTAACGTGTGTGAAACACTTACAACCGTGCTGGCCCCACAGCAAGTGCTGTGCTCCATCTATTGTCATTGGTGGAGTTAGCTTCACTGTATGATAAGATTCCACGGCTTGCTCTGGTCTTTCCGTTCTGCCCCACTGCTCGTCTGTTCCTGTAGTAACACCAGACCCTTGTAATCACAGTGGCCCCAAATCCCTCAGAATCTGGAAGGGCTGAGAGTTGGCACACAGGAGGCGAAGCTGTGGGCAGATCTGCAGGTCACCCAGCAGCATCTCCACAGCCCATCGCCAGCCTGCTCTGTGTCCCATGCAGCTATGATCCCCCAGGACCAAAGCACCAGGCAGAGGGGTGTGGGGTCCAGCTTATCATCGTCCACGCCCAGGGTGACACATGGTGGGTCCTCCTTTTGGCTAGACTAATGGAATAGAACTTTGTTGCTGGAAAGACCTCGGGGAGCACATAATGCAAGCCTGCTGTTTCACAGGAGAGCAGACTGAGGCTCGTGGTAGAGAAAAGCGGGTGCTCAAAGCCAGACAGCTGGCTGGCGCAGCAGGGAGCAGATCCCTGCCAGTCACCTTTCCACTGGGTGCACCCACCAGGTGGCAGAGCACTGTCACCACTCGGAGCAGATGCCAGCACAGAAGACAAGATACTCGGGGAGGACCACAGAGAAACAAAGCAATCTCGGCTGGAAAGGTCTCATGAGCAACGGTTGTGAATGGAAACTGTTACCCAAGTGACGGAAGTGGAGCCGGCGTTTGGGGTTCAGATGGTTGCTGAGCGCTTTTACTGAATGCAATTTCATATCGCTGGTTTTGTCTCTGGAGCAATGCTCCCTGAGCTCAGAGATTCCTTTTCTCTCTCTGATCACAGTAATTGCGTGAAAACCTTTTCAGGGGGCTCTGTCGTAGAATTAATCTCGCCTTTCCTGTTTATCATTTGTGCGTTAATATCTTAGTGATCTGCATTCGAGTTTTGGTCAGTGGACCTTTTCTTTTCTATGTAAAGTAACCAGAAAATAGTCCTACAACAGCAAATTTGGTGGAGGTGTTGAAGGCAGAGCAAGGGATCCTTGTAAGGTGAGAAGACACGGATCCAGAGATGGGGTGGGTCTTCCCAGCTCCTTTAGAAACTGGACAACTGAACGGTGAAGTCAAAATTCTTGCAACCTGGCCTTGGATTTCCTTTTCCTCCCGCCTCTCTTCTTTCATCCTGTGCCTTTTCCACCACTATTTATCAGTCTTTCTCGTGCGACATGAGGCCCACAAAGCTGCAGGCTCTGACCCCAGGAAGTAAGAATCTGGGGGCTAGATTGTAAAGAAGGCAGCAGGGGAGGCCCCTGGAGGGTTGATCACCTCTGCATGCATGTGGGACCTGGGGCCAGAGTCCAGGGGGTTAGAACACAGAGACCTAGTGACCTCTTAGCCGCTTGGACTAGGAGAGAGTTGTATCATTCTGGCCCTCCAGCCTGGGCAATGGGTAGGGAAGAAGCTCTAGGTGGGGAGAGAAGAGGGCCACCTGCAGGCTGGTCGTGTTAGGGTGACAGGGACGTGCAAGGGTCAGTAAGACAGGTCGGCCTGGAGCTGTGCTGCAACGTGGGCTCACAGGCCTCATCTCCCAGCTAGCACTGTGGGCTTCCAGGGGCCAGCCCAGGAGACGCACAGGATGGGAAGAGGTCCATGCAAGGATCTCATGGGGGGTGTGGCTCATTGTGGGGGGGTGGTTCACCATTCTCTGGTCAGCAGTGTGGATGATCAGGAGAAGATGGAGGTAGAGACCTCCAGAAACGTGAAAGAAAGCGAGTCCGGCGGCAGCAAATGCCCGAGAGACTGTCTGTGGGTAAGACCCCTCCTTCAGGCGGTCGCGGCTGGCCTTGTGAGAGCAGCGAGTCATCTGTCAGGGAATGATGCTGCTGTGGCCACGTCTGTCCCTGGAGAGATGCAGGAAGCTGGGTCTGGGATGCAGTGGGGTGAATAAAACCGGAGAAGATGTCACATCTCTGGGTGATTCTCTCGGTGTGACTTTTAGAAGTTTTGATATACTTCTTAATGAAAACATATTTCATCCACTGATTCTTGAAAAAAGTAGTTTATGACATAGATAGAAATAAGAGAGTTTGATATTAAACATGACCGCAGTTACACACCAGAGAGAAAATTCTATGGCAGCGGCTGTGTGACTTCATCAGGATGCTCTCCCAACTCAGCTCGTTCCCTTGGATTAGAAATGCTGTAGACTCCCGGACGTCTCTCGTATCTACCACCCTGGCTTTGCCGCTTAGGAGGAGGAACCAAGGGGGAGAAGCAAAAGGGTTCACAGGGAGAAGGGTACAAGGAATCTCTCCACTTTCTGCCCATCCCTAGTTAAAGGTTCCGATGGCGACTGCCAGTGTGAACACCAAAGAAAGGGTTTCAGGAGAGTTAACTGAAGCAAAAACGGAAATCCCCTCATTCAATAAAAGATATAGAGGAGCCAGCTGAGGACCCGAAGGCGGAACGGACATGTGAAGCAGTGGAATCAGAAAGACAGCTCTCACAACAAATGCACA